GGCAAATGATTGGAAAAGATTATTACTTGCACAAAGGCCTATTCAGATCTCATGTCTCACAATCATACAATCTCCTGCTCATTGACCAGAAGTGATCTTTCAGGTAGTTCTTCCCCCAGGAACAAAAAATAAACAGCAAAGGCCCTATATTGTTCTCTCCATTGTTTATGTATTACTAACTAAAATAAAACTAACTTTGGACTCTGCATACATAGAGAAATAAACATGTGAATGACAGCTTGGTCTAACTCCCATTGAAATCAATAGCATGACTTCTAAGCATTGAGTCCTCTGTTAGAGAATGAGGGTTAGCCCTTCTCTTGGTGTGAAGCAATGTGGTTCCCTTGATTTCAGTATATCTATACTGAGTTATACCAGTGGAGATATGGCTCTGAATCTTTTCTCTCTTTGATTCAATATTTTACTTTACACCTCATGTAAAAAAAATTCCCCCTTAAATTAGTGTTAAAATGCTACTTCTACTTGTTCCCAACGGCCTAAAAATGTACAACTGAATTGCCCACAGTACTTTGAAAAATTCAGCCATAGTTGTTAGTGTTTTGTGTACATAATGAAAGAGAGAGAAGGAATGAAATAGCACTCCCATTTTACCCCCTCCTTTCCCCGAAATATCCAAAGCTACACACTTTAATTTCCACTAGTTAAATCTGAACATCTAATAAAAAAGTGTTAGCGACCATAAGAGCCATGCATATTTAGATGGAAGGAGAATGGATTGACTTGTCTGCAGCTGGCACTTTTATTATAAGGCATTTAAAAAGTCTGACAGCTAATGCACTTTACCAAGAAATTGCAAACTACATGCCTTCAAAGGAAATTATAAGAGTCAAAGAGATTTGATTTTGTTTGTACATCATATTCTCTGCTTTTCAGGGATTGGTGCAGTATTCTGTGCAAGCATCATGCAACTTCAGGTAAGAGCCAAGCCAGATAGATTTGAAAGTAAGATTTATCTCAAAGTATGTTTCCTTGTTGACACATTCCGTGTCATTTTTCATCTCCACCTTTAACTATCATTCCACATCAGCAATAGAAGTCAGGTTCTTAATTATGTGGGGATTATTCATTGTAATGAAGGGAAACATAAAGAATCTCATGAGCACAGTCACATCTATAACTTATTTATAATGTGTTCAGAGAATTACAATCACTCATGGTGCTGAAGGTTGAAGCCTCAACACACTAGCTTCAGTATGAATGCTTTTTAAAATTACTAGTCAAACTAAACATTTTATTAATCAGCTTTTCATATTATATGTGCTCAGCTGGGAGTTTGCAATATGAGTGCTTACTTCATATGCTGACAATTTTACTAACTAGCTTATAATATTATTACATTAGATGGTGATTTACTAGTTCTATTAAGCCCTGATGCTAAAGATGTTATATGTTAAATGGGTCCTAAAACAAAGCAGTTTCCTCCTGAGAGGGAAAAGAGAAGGAAAGAAAAAATTGTTCCAGATTTAGGTTACAAAAGCAAATATTTGCATGACCTGAAAAAGGAATCTGTTAAATGTCCAGCCCTGTTATACAGGGAATATTTCATTTTCACATCAACTTTGTCTAAAGACAAGCTGCATTAGTTGACAAATTGTACAATCTCTATGTACCTAAAAGTTCTCCCACTGAAGAGCAGAATGTTGCATGAGAATTGCAGAATCACTTATGTTAAAAGGATAAAATAATTTCCTGTTAGCTGTATTCTTTGGAAGGTGTAATGATGTAAGGAACAAATGTAGTTTGTAAACCATTTCCATAACTGGCAGAAAAAGTGACTAATGCCACTATGCTATATAACCACTTCCTGGAACAAAATACTAGTGCTTCTCTTTCTGGCTGGAGGTAAATAGACTTAGGTTCTCTATTATCAAAGAAAATATGGATCAATCCTTTTCTTACTCTGGAAACCACTGAAAAAATGCAATTTAAGTTTTGGAAAGGTATCCTTCTTCCTGTATTCAGGTTTCAAATGGAAAAAAATCTCATTGCTCCTTATGTAATTTCAAATATGACTACCCATCCAGGTTCTTCCTTAATTCCTCACGGAAAACCTCACTGCCAGATTGCTTGTATAGTCTGGTTTTGTGCAGTTACTGAATGTTTGACTTCTTCCTCTCCAAGATGGTCTTTTAGGAGCTTATGTCTGACTAAATAGGCAGAAATCCCAGGTACTCCCTTCCCTCCCCCAGACCCTCCAAAACAACAAGATTAGAGATACCTGGAGTTATGTCAGACTCCAGATTTGGAAATCACCTCTGAATTCAGATTCACACCAAACTACAAAGTCTCCCAGGCTGCATCTTCATGAGCAGCAGATTGCACAATTGTTAGTGTGCAAGTACTAAATGGCTGTGCAGTAACCGGATTCTGATGAGACAAAGAGATATTTTGAGTAATTTACCTGAGGGCAGGTCTAAACACACACACAGAAATTACACCAAATTAACCAATTCGGTTTGTAAATCAATTTAATAAATTGGCACAGCTCCCGGGTGAAGACTCTTAAATAGGTTTAAGATTGGTTAAAACTGTGTTAGCTTAACTCAGTTTTAAAAATGTCTGCATAAGGGGGTTGCAATGATTTTATTAAATTGTTCTAGAAATGAATTACGTTAAACCAGTGCTATTCATATGTGTAGGCCAAGCTTTAAGGACTGACAAGAGAATCCAAAACATACCACTGATTATCAACTTATTGTTTCCAAGAATTAAAAAAAAAAGTAGGAAAGAAATTAAGCAAAGTTTTAAATTGGCTTGAAGAAAAAGTGTTTTGTTTATACGCAAAAAGCCTACCACACCATCACAAACTTAAATTCAAACTTTGTAGAATTTGAGCACAGGAATCTAAAAATGAAGTTTAAACATTTTTAAACAACTTGAGTTTGTCACAAGGCTTACTTACTACTTAAATTTCAACAAAATGACAAGAAGAGTCAGTTTCCAATTGTAGGTTCCTTTTTCTTTTGTTAGCTTTGTGTTTTGGATAAAATAATATCTTTGAAGAATTGAGCGTTTAGGGGCATTTTGTTGTGTTGTTTGTTTGTTTTTTAACATAGATATAATTTTCTAAGGCTTCAAATATTGTGTCTAGACCCAAATTCAATACCTTGGCAATAATACAGATAGCCTTATATGACCCTTCTATTCTACCATCCTTGGCTGGCAAATTGTTTGTATAATCCTGTGTACTGTGTAAAGATGAATACACATGAAATTATTCTTGTAGTGTTAATTTCAGGAATTTGGTTCCTGACATGAATAACAGTCCTCCTAGTAACAATGACCAGAGTTTGAAAAAAGGGGTTTTGATTTGGGGGTTATAAGAAACTAGCACAATTAAAGCCCCCTTCTGTTTGCCTTTGGTAGTACATCTGACCTCTAAGCAAGAGAAGATGTTTTAGTGACATACTACCTCACATTCCAGAGGCTTAAACATCTGCTAATGCTGGGCAATTGGAAGTGAGAATGGAAAAGCTAAGTTTATTAGGGTTGTCCGAAGCTTCAGGTTCTGATTTGATTCGGAAGAGATTTGGCCTGATTCGGCAGCTGAATCCTGGAATCCAAATCAAATCAAGAGACCAATAAAAAGGTCTGGATCAACTCAAAGTTCTCTGAATTGATTCAGAAAAGATTCAGAGATTTGGACAGTCCTTGCTTACCGTTACAGGGATCTGGACCCAGACTCCATGCCAGTAAGTAAGAGGCAGGGGGGAGAGGCTGCAAGAGGTGGGAGGGGACCATGGAGGGACCCCTGCCAGACCCCATCCCCTGCCTGCTCCCCAGGCCCTCCTGAGTGCCTTCTGACACCTGCCCACTCTTCCCCGCACCATGGCTGCCCCGTCCAGCCCCAGCTCCCAGTTCTTTAAAAAAAAAAAGAAAGAAAAAAAACCCCACTCACTGGTTCCTGTTGCATGGGGGGGCTCTGGCAGGAGCCCCCATCCCCTGCTCACTCTCCCAACCTCCCCTATGGCTGCCTCGCCGAGCCCCAGCTCTTTAAAATAAAAATAATAATAAAAATAAAATATTGCTGCTGCAGTAGTCATTGGAGCTTCTGGGGGCTCGTGGCAGAGCCCCCCCCCACACACACACACAGCATAGGGCATCGCGGTACAGTGGGATCACCCCCCATCCCCAACCTGGCAGCAGCCGCTGTGTGAGGGCTTTTTAACTTTTTTTTTTTTAAAGAGCTGGGATGCTGCGTCTGTGAGAGCAGACAGGGGATGGGGGTCATGACAGAACCCCCCCACACAGCGTGGGGCAGTGGGGATCACCCCCCCTCCCCCCATCTTGCAGCAGCTGGTGACTGCCAAGGCTTTTTTTCTTAAAGAGCCTGGGGCCGGGCAGGGCAGCCATTGACAGGGATGGGGATGGGGCCTTTTTGATTCAGAGATTTGGCCCATTCAGTGGAAGCTATTTGGGACAGTGATTCAAATCAGTGAATCGAATCACTGTCCCCCGAATAGGCCAAATCCAAATCCTAAGTGAAAACTAGCTGCTTCACACAGGCCTAAAGTTTATAACTTTTTTTCCACAATATATAGGAAGCAATTGGCAGCAGTGATCATAGGCCATTGAAGGGCAAATATTAGTTGAATGGCCTGGACAGATGGGTCTCTTTAGACAGAGATTAGGATACTGGCTACATGTTCTGGGACACACACAGAGAAAACCACGAACAGAGGAGGATGCAATTAATTATAGGCCAGTCAGTCTCACCTCCAACCTTGGAAAGGTCTTGGAAAAGATTATGAAGGATCATATTTGTGGGAGTCCAGCAGGAAAAATAATGCATCAGGGAAGCCAGCATGGATTCGTAGCAGGTAGATCATGCCTGACCAATCTGGTTCCGTTTTATGACAGGGTCACAAAATGCTTAGATGCAGGAGTAGAGGTGGATGTCATTTTCTTGGATTTTAGCAAGGCCTTCAAAACAGCATCTCATCCCATTCTCATAAATAAATTAAGAGGCTGTTACATAGACATTTACACAGTCCAGTGCGTGGCAAATTGACTTAGCGGTCACACCCAGAGAGTGGTAGTAGATGGGTTGGTATCACCCTGGAAGGATGTAGGGAGTTGGGTCCTGCAGCGTTCAGTCTTTGGACCTGTACTCTTCAATATCTTCATCAGTGACTTGGATGTGGGTGTGAAGTGTACTCTATCCAAGTTTGCAGATGCTACTAAATTATGGGGTGAAGTGCACACTCCAGAGGGCAGGGAATGCTTGCAGGAAGACCTGGACAGGTTAGAAAAGTGGAAAGTACACAATAGGATGCAGTACAACAAGGACAAATGCAGAGTGCTACACTGAGGGCGCAAAAATATCCAGCACACCTAATGGCTGGGAAGTGACCCTCTCAGCAGCACAGAAGTGGAAAGAGATCTCAGAATCATAGTGGACTCCAAGCTGAACATGAGTCTTCAGTGTGACAAAATCATGAGCAAAGGTAACTGCACTTTATCATGCATCAGCAGATGTATGACAAATAGAACCAAGGAGGTGATACTTCCCCTCTGTGCAGCATTGGTCAGACCACAGTTGAAGTACTGCATCCAGTTTTGGGTGCCATACTTCAAGAAGGATGTTGATAGACTCAAGAGGGAGCAGAGAAGGGCCACTTGTATTTTTCGGGGCTTACAGGACAAGCCCTGTGAGGAGAGGCTGAAGGACCTGGACCTCTTCAGCCTCCACAAAAGAAGGCTGAGAGATGATTTTGTGGCCACCCACAAATTCATTAGGGGGACGCAGCAAGGGATCGGAGATGCTCTGTTCACCAGGGCACCTCTTGGGGTAACAGGGAACAATGGTCACAATCTGACAGAGAGCAGATTTATGCTATATATCAGGAAGAACTTCTTCATGGTAAGGGTGGCCAAAATTTGGAATGGGCTTCCAAGGGAGGTGGTGCTCTCCCCTACCTTGGGGATCTTTAAGAGAAGGCTGGATAGGCATCTGGCTGGGGTCATCTGACCCCAGCACTCTTTCCTGCCTAAGCAGGGGCCGGACTCAATGATCTGTTGAAGTCCCTTCTGACCCTAGCACATCTATGATCTCTTTTTCTCCCTCTTTCTGTATGTTTTTCAGTATGTTAAAATATTCAGTTGTGTGGTAAGATCTTCCTTCCTTAAGGATACCTGCATCTTCTGCAGTCATCTGTTTCGATCCCTGCAGTGATGTAAAAAATCAAGGAGCTCTTGGCAGATGGTCTTAGAGATGAATAGCTGCTCAAATGAATCATGATATCCTCCAGCTTATCTTTAACAACATTCCTTCCAGCACAAGACAAGTTACGGAGCTGTTCCCCTTAGTCCTGTGTACTTCCCAGACTTAATTCTATCAGCGGGAAACTGTGCTGATATCATGTGTAGCAAATGCTTACCATACTTACCTGTCTCCATGCCATGTCACAATCTGTTTAAAATCTGATTAATTACTTAATGTTTGTAAAGCACTTTGAAAATGAAAAGAACTACAATATAAATGTTAAGTATCATTATTATTTATTATTATATTGCTTCCTTCTCTTTGTCCTAGTAAAGAAAAATCTGTGAACACCTAGATCGTCATCCCCAAACTAAAATTATGTTTGGCCTGTAGCATTCAGCAATGCGAGGTAGACACAAGATTTGTGTGTTGTCAAATTGAGCATGTTCATATTTAATATCTGTCATCACAGTCTCATGAGATGGGTGAGATTATTATAAAACAGGCAGAATATTTCAGTGACATATATCTGAAAGGTAAGTACTGCTATTATTATTACTATTATTGTTTGCTTTCTAAGTGGAGAGTAAAGATGTATTGAAAACTCTTTAGGGGCTATTCAAGGAGAAGCTGCATGGGAATTCCCAGCTTAAGAACCTGTCATAACATTATTTTATCTCTGTCCATGTAGCTCTCAAAATCAAAGCAGTCATTCTTATCAGAATTTGAGCTTGGGGGATTGAAAAATACCTAGGGAAAGCAGACACAGATAAGGGGAGGGAAAAGAGAAGGGAGGAAATTCTGGGAAGAGCAGAAAAGAACCCACAGGAAAGAGAGAAATGTGAGGACTCCGTCCCACTGGGGAGTGTTACCAGATTCTCCTCCTGCCATGAGGAAGCATTCCAAAAGAGAGGTGAACAAGCTAAAAAACTCTGCCTTACTCTGCCCTTAGGGTCATCAACCCTAGCACAGGCAGCCAGAAATTACCTCCAGATGTGACATTTAGGCCCCCAAACATCCCAAACAGCCCTTATAGAAAGGAAGGGCAGTGGGGGTTGTGCTGCCATGATTAAAACTTTCTGCTTATGAGGTGGTCCCAGTTAAACTCTTGACAAGGGCACCAAGGGCTAGTCAGAGAAGGCATACAAATCAAGGTATCCCCCATATACCCCAGCCATGCCCTGCTCTTAGCCAACAACACACTCTCAACAGAAAAACTAGTGTGGCTGTTCTGCCTTCCTGGAAGTTATGCTTCCACTTGAGACCTGCAATTTCGTTTAGGCTGACAGAAGTCATCAAAATCCTGAGATAGCCACTGTACCAGGATTTATGTGCATGGGAATTACCACAGGGCCTTGAGAAGTTTCTCTGACAGAATTTCATGTACTGATTATTCTGACATGGGACTTTCCTGAAATCAAGAAATCTCTTGTGCAGAGACTGGCCTTCATTTGAGGCTTCTCAAAATAAGTAAATCAAGAAAGTCTTTGTTCATTACAAAAAGGACAGTTTATCCTAAAGCATGAGAAGAAAAGTTCCTGTGGCCTTGTTCTTCTGACCCAGATTTAAGCTAGTCTGGTGTAGCTATTAGATAGAAGTCTAAACAACCTATCAGACTATGAAGAGGTAAAAAAAAAAAAGTAAACCCAAAAGGGAAAACTAATTAAACAGAGTTCTGAAAACACAGGTATCAGCGTTAGCAGAACGGAACAACATGAAATACTGTCTTAATACCATAAAGTGTTGAATAGTATGGCTGTGTGAAGCTTCAGTTGCTGATTTGATTCAGTGGAGATTCGGCCCGATTTGGCGGCTGAATCTCAGAATCCGAATTGAATCAAGAAACCCTTTAATCTCTCCAAATCAAATCAGAACCCTCCGGAGAGATTTGATGATTCAGACAGACACAGCTTTAAATGTTTTTCTTACATACCTCAAGGTACCAGGTGGCTCATGAATCCTGAGATGCTGGAGTGGATGGCGTGTCCCACAGAAGCATGGGGGTGCACTTCTGGTCTACTTCTGGGTCTGCCACAGAGCATGTGGGGGACTCCCCCCCTCACCAGCTTGGCAATTGATGCCTCCTGGGTCTGGGAAGGGGGCACCTAGGGTCCCCCTGTGGCCAACTGCTGAGCTGGGAGGGGTGCGGGGGGGGCTCTCCTGTGTGCTCAGCGGCGGACCCAGAAGTGGACCAGAAGTATGACCGGTCCACTTCCAGATCCACCGCCGAGCCCCCATGCTCCTGTGGGATGCTCTATCTGCCCCAGCATCACAGCATTCACGAGCTGCACCTGATACCTCGAGGTATGTAGAAAAAACATTTAAAGCTGTGTCTATGGCTGAATCGCTGATTCTCCCAATCAGCATCGAATCTTCAGATTCAGCTGAATCAAATCAGAACAGTGATCTGAATCAACTAATCAAATCACTGTCCCTGACTTGGGCTGAATCCAAATCCAAATTGAATACAGCCTGTTTCGCACACCCCTATTGAATGCTACAGTGTAAATGAGAAATGTGATCAGCTGCAAAAAGGCAGGTTTGATCTTGCTGATATCATTTATTTAAAAAGTTGCTGAAAGATACACAAAGAAGTTTGAAATGACTGCACATGACACACACACAGCTTGCCTCAAGGCAAAAGTCTTATGATTTGAACTACGAATCATTCCCCTAATGCTACACATAGACCCAGGGGTGTGAAAATGCACTGAAGGCAGTCCCTGCCTTCCTCAAAGTTAATTCACCATTAAAGTTTAGCCAAGTTTCAGCCTGTTGTGTTCCCAAGCTACCTCTTTCCAGTCTGATGGAAATCAGTGTTCCAAATGAATTTTTTAAAGGAATCTGTTACAACACATTCCTTGGAGGGGAAAAGAAGACATTCTGTACCATTAAATTCAAACATTCTTAAGTAGCTCCATACATGAAATCTAGAGTTGGGGCTACTGAAAAGGAAAGCATTTAAAACACTTTTTGTTTGATTCTGACTAAAGTGAAATTCCTTCAAAAGCACTTGTGCATTTGCTATTTAGAATTGCATCTGTCTTTAGTATTTGGGAGCAAAAGACCATCTGCCAGAATGGGTCTGGTAAATCTCTTTTCAGGCTGCCATTTTGTGAGCAAGGATATATCCATCCCCCTTGGTGATCCTTCCCTAAAACCATTTGTATAACTTGCCAACTGTTCCTTCCTCTGACTCTTCCTCTAATTATGCTTTAGAAGACAAGTGAGGGGGAAGAACAGCACACAAAAAACTGCCTTGGTACTTACACCTGGTTGAAAACTTTCAAAAATGTAATGTCTTTTAAAATGTATTTCCAATTCCCCTCCCCCACCCCCTCCCAAAAAAGTTTCTGGTTTTCATTAGCTTATTTACTTTTTTTCCTATGAGCAGAAATTACAGTAATCTCCCCCCATAAACCCACCAACAAATTTAGTTTGTTGTGTTCAACCAGCTTTATTCAAAGCAAAATAACTGTCAGTTAACTAAAGGCTTTAAAATTAAAATGGAGTAAAGACACTTTGAAAGTGTTTCAGGCTCTAAATGGCTACTCCTAGTGTCAAGGTGAAGAAACTGAAAATAAATGCATCATATATTTTAACTGTCTTTTTTGGTTCCTCTCTCAAACTCCTGCTCCTTGCTTAACATTGTTTCTACCTCCCCCCACCACCTTACCATGTCATTACATGATTTTGAACAATGCAATTGCATACTGCTTCTGAATCAAATGCAAATTTTTATCAAGGCATCAAAAATCTTGCAGATTTGAATGTATAAAAATCTATTAATTCTTAGAAACCACAGGGCAAACCCTCAGGTAGTAAAAATCAGCATAATTCCTACTGGCTTCAAAGAGGCTGAAAACCATTTGCACCAGCACATAAAATAGGTTCAGTATTTTATATTAGAATCCCTATATATTAGGTATGGGTATCCACAAAACTAGAGAGTCAATAACCAGTTAAGAATTATACTGGCCCTTACTGTTACCTGGCTAATTGTTTACAGATAAGCAGCACGTTTCCTTAAAACCGCTGCAACCATTGCAGTTAAAATCTTAAAACCTGCTAAAATAGAAAACATTTCTATTTGAAGGTAAGAGTAGAGTAGACCCTCCAAGTTATTACTTCCTGCGAGGAATGTATGAAAGGAGTTAGAATATTAATATCTTTAAATAGTTCTCCTGGGAATATATTAGTGTTTTCCTCTATGGGATACATTTTGTGGAATTTGATAATTCCTGGCATTTTTCACTATCCACAAAGCATCATTCCTAAGTGCTGTCATATTATATTTTGGTTTTAACATGTTCAGAATGGCCTGAAAGCTGGTTCTACTCTTACCTTCAAATAGAAATGTTTCTATTTACTTTTCAATGGAATAAAAGCAGTATGTTAAAAAACAGGGCTCAGAAGCTAAGCTCATAGTTTAAAGTCTTTCATGGTTTGGCTGTTCAACACTTTGAAAATCAAGCCACTTATTTCTGATTTCCATTTTTTTAAATTCTGGATTTGTTTTGGGGGTGTTTTTGGGTGGGGGGGGAGTTGTTTTGTTTTGCTGCATCTGATCCTCTGTGTTTCCCTTGGTCTCCATTACCATAGCACCCACCCAGGGAAGACAAATGTTCTTTCCTATGCCAGGAATATAAAACTGCACTTGCACCCCTACACAATGTAATCCTAAGAACTCACAAAACATGAAGATGCCTGTACTTCACACAGCCCCAGATTTTAAGTGCCAGAAAGAATCATTGTGATCATCTAGTCAGGACAAAGAAAGTAAAGAGAAAAGGAAAATGATAAACTAAACAGTAGCAAATCACCAGGACCTGATGAGATTCACCCTAGGATCCTGAAGGAACTTAGACTGGAAATTGCCAAACACCAACTGTCGTATGCAACCTATCACTAAAAATAGCTTTGGTACCAGAGGATGGGAGGGCTGCTAACATGGCTGAAATATTTTAAAAGGGCTTGGCGGGGGACCCAAGGAACTACAGGCCAGTGAGTCTAACTTCCATTCCTGGAAAACTGGTAGAAACGATTACAAAACAAAGAATTGTTCAGCACATGGATGAACATGACTGGCTGCGGAGGAATCAGCATGGTCTTGTCAAAGGAAAATCATGGCTCACCAACATATTAGAGTTCTTTCAGGGCATCAATAAGCAGGTGAATCAGGTTGATCCAGTTAACTGTATATTTGGACTTCCAAAAAGCCTTTGACAAGGTCCCTCATTAATAGGCTGACCATATGGAAATCCAGGAAATTTGGGACATTGCACTCCCATCTTCCCACAGTGCTCTTATAAATTGGCTGGGGCAAGGCTGCATGCCAGGCAGGCAGCGGTGCCTGCCTTCCCACTTGTAAAGCACTCCATGCCACTACAGCTCCTGGCCAGACTGTGCTCTGCACCCCTGTGTTTCCAGGAAGCTCATTATAATTCCCAACAGCCATCTGGGACCAGCCCCTGAAACCTGGTTCTGTCCTAGCTAAATGGTCACCCTACTCATCAAGGGTTCTTAATCAAGTTACATTACAGGAAAGATCCACTGGTAGATTAGAAATTGGTTTAAAGAAAGTAAACAAAGAGTATAAATGGTCAATATTGTGGATAGAAAGTAGTAAATAGCGGGATCCCCATGGATCTGTGGTTGGACCCATGCTGTTTAACATAATCATAAAAGAACTGGAAAGGAGGGTGAGTAGTGAGGTTGCCAAATATGCAAGTGACACAAAATTATTCAAAGTGGGAAAGATCAAAGCAAACTTTGAGGAATTATAGGAGGATTTTGTACTATTGAGTGAATGGGTGACTAAATGGAAGATAAAATTCAATGTAGATAAGTGAAAAGTGATGCACATAGGCAAAAATAACCCAAACTGCACCTACACTATGATGGGCTATACATTACCTGTTTCCACACAGGAAAGAGATCTGAGAGTCATTGTGGACAGTTCACTGAAAACATCAACTCAGTATTCAGTAGCCATCAAAAAGGCAAATAAAATGTTAGGAATTCTTAATAAGGGAACTGAGACCAAAAGAAAAAATATCATTATGCCCCTCCATAAGTCCGTGGTGCATCCAAACCTTGTATACTGTGCTGTTTTGGTTCCCACACACCAGAAAGGATATAGAACAGTGGTTCCCAAACTGTGGGTCGTGACCCCAAATGGGGTCACAGCATCAGTGGATAGGGTTGCAGGGTTGGGGGCTGTGGGTTGGGACTGAGGGGCCATGCTGAGGAAATGGGGTCCTGCTGAGGAAGTTTGGGAAGCACTGATATAGAAGAACTAAAGAAGGTACAGAGAAGGGAAACAAGGATGATTAGTAGTATGGAGGGGCTTCTATATGAGGAGAGACTAAAGAGTCTAGGTCTGTTTGGTTTAGAAAAGAGACGCATGATAAGGGTTTACAACCTAGTAAATAATAAAGAGAAAGTAAATAGGGATTTACTGCTTACTAACTCTCTCAGTACAAGAACTAGGGGTCATAAAATTAAACTAGTATGTAGAAAGTTTAAAACTAACAAAAAAAAGTTCTTTTTTACAGACAGCACAGGCAGTCCTCAGACTTACAACACAATTGGTTCCTGAAAACTGTGTCTTAAGTCAAAATGTCGTAACTCAGAACCAATTTTCCCATAGGAACAATGATATAAATAGGGGATTGGTTCCTGAACCAAGGCCTGATACACTATTTGCACCAAAAACAACCTAGAATTTTGTACTCAATCAATTACCAATGAGTAATATAGCTATATAAATGTATTTATATTGTAAATAGGAATCATATTGATTTGGAAGGACTTCTTTGAGGTGACTTTGTTGGACTTTTTGAAAGGCTCTTGGTTGGACTTCTTGAAGGGCTCTTGGCTGGAGTCTTCTCAGGAGTCTTGCCTGCAGGTTTTTCTGGAGTCTTGTCTGCTTTCTTAAAGAAAGTGTCCAAGGAAGTTTGGACAGATGTTCTCTAGGGAGATGGCGATGCAGCAAACTTGTTTGCTGGCATGCTGTCACATTGGATCAAGCATTGTAAAGTCAAAACTAATGTCAGAAAGTTGAAACAGGGTGTCAATTTATAAATGTCACAAGTGCCGTTCGTTGCAACTCAAAGCATGTTAAGTTGAGGACTGCCTATATAATTAAAGTGTGGAACTCATTGCCATAAGATGATGCAGAAGCTGACAGTTTATCCAGATTCAAAAAGTGATTGGACAAATTTCTAGAGGAAACATGCATGAGTAGCTATTGAACATGGGAATTAGGGGTACAGCCTCTGAATCAAAACTTCCTAGACCTTAAATGCTTGAGACTGACACTGGGAGAGAAACAAAGGAAAAAAAACTAGTCATACCCTGTTCACTCTCCCTTTCAATATCCACTCTCTGCCACTGTGTGAAGGCAGACAAAGGCTGCAGCAGAATGAGAACTCCAATTGTCTTGGCCTCCTTGCCATTGGATCAAGGTTCCCATTCCTTCAAGAACCATGTGGAAGCTGATGTACAGCAGCTTTTCCACTATAAAAAAAACCCCCACACAGGTCTCTTCCATGTAAATGGCTTTAGTACATTTTTCGTGCCCTTTGGCAACCAGCTTGTGATGATGGGAGCAGGATTGTGATTCCTGGAAACTCCTAGTCATGAACTGGCACGAAGGTGGCAGTTACAAGGTCATCTAGCACTTTGACACAGCAGGAGTGCAATTCAGCAGCTGTAACTACAAATGAGCAGCACTCTTAAGGATCGCTGTGCTTGCCCCACAAGAGGAAGGGGCTAGAAAAGGTGCCTTAAACACAGTCTGCACATCTTTTTCCTGACTGGATAACCATGTCCAGTGGGATCATCTTTATTGCAGTTGAAATCAATGAAGACACACAATCAATTTTGGAACCTGGACTGTCAGGACTCTCATGGGCAATCCTAATAGTGAATGCCGTGAGCTCCACAATGCAACTGTGGCTTGAGAACTCAGGAGACACAATGTTGACCTCATTGCACTGAGTGAGACCCTGATAGTGGGAGATGGGGAGCTCAAAGATCAAAGAAACAGGTATACTCTCGTCTGCAAGGGTAAACAGGAAGGATAACACTGACATCATGGAGTTGGCTTTGCCATTAAAAATGAACTCTTACACCAACTCACTGAGATCCCTGTTGGAATTAATGAGTGCCTCATGACTTTCCATCTCAAATTGGCAGGCGTCAATATGCCACTGTCATCAGCATGTATGCCCAGACTCCTGATGCTGCTGATGAAACCAAGCAGAGATTCTATACCAAATGTGACCAAGTCCTTTCTGACATTCTGGAGGAGGGGCAGGCTTATTCTGGAAGGAGTGGGAAAGGTTAACTCAGTGGTATCCTCCTCTTGACCAAATGCCTGGAAAATGGACTCACCATCACCAACACCTTATTCCACCAAAACAATGTTTACAATACATCATGGCAACACCTGCAATCTAAGCATTGGCATTTGATTTGCTACATCATTGTTTGTGCCCAGGGCCACAAAAATGTCTGCATCACTTGAGCTTTGTTAGGGGCTGATGACTGCAGGACTACTCATCAACTCATCCACTTGGTTACATCACCCAAACGAGCTCCCAAGTGATGGCTACAGCAGAAGAAATGCTGATGGAAGATCCATATCTGGCTGCTTCTTGGACCATTGCCTCCTGGTGATAAAGGTAGAGATGGGAGGACAGCCCAAGAGGCAGAGGCATGTAGAAGCTGAATGTGAGCCCCCTGGGTGACAAAAAATCCACTGGGAGTTCAAACAGCACTATGCAGTTTGGAGCTGTATACAGGAACCACACAGAGTAGTGAGCCAGTATTAAAGAGAGAGCAAGAGATTTCATCCAGCAGGCCAGCAGGAAGTAAGCCTGGGTCCAAAAGGGGCCACTATGAACACCTAAACCACAAGTTGCACAGCCTGCACAAGCAGGCATCCTGGCATTGGGATATGAGTAGGCCATGTGGGAAATGAAGGGTCAGATGAAGACCCAGCCTGGTGCAGGGAAGAGACCAGAAATATCTTCCTGGCCCAGGCTCTGTGTGTGGATGCGGGGGAGGACTGGTCTGTTAACTTTCAAAGCGTTAAAGAAAACCAAGAGGGAG